TGTAACCAAGTATTAATTTAGAGAATTAAAACGACAATCACGGTAGCTATGGCAGCTGAAAGAAAAAAATAATATTTCGATAGCGAAACATACTCATTGCCAGCCGTCCGTTTAGTAAAAGGATATTTTGCAGCTTTTTCCGAATATGTATTTTGTACGCCTGTTTGTCTTATCCCACAAACTGATAAGATATACACTATACAGCCATAGTTCTATGTGAGGTTCGAAAGGTGATTAGAGTGGATGGTAGTCACCGATTTCTGGGGTAGACCCTGTCTATTCTAATTACGAGTATTTAATTATTTAAACCGTATCTACCTGATCCCAAGACATTAAGAAGCAATACAGCTCTTGCGCTTCTTGCGTGGAGCTCAAGGGCTACGCGTGTGACGGCAGCGGGGAGGTTCTGTTCTAGCTTCAGTGCCACCGACACCAAACCATTCGTGACACGCGCCGCGAACAGGTCTGAGTATTCTGAAAGTACAATATTCGTCACAAGTTACTCAAACGTGCATATTTTGCGTTATTACTACGATTAAATAGACAGAAGCTCTTTTTGTGTCCAAATTACATTAGTGGTTAGTGTAGCAGAGACAGAATGAAGGCCCATTCGCCTCGAAGCATGACTCTCGCAAGTTTCAGAGTTGCACAAATTGGTTTCCGTAATGACTGAGACAAAATAAATTCATACTAATATTTGTCTTCGTACCTCCATGTAAGTCGACAGTTGTTCCATCGAAACCAAGTATTCTGATATCCTCGTGTTGGACGACATTGTCTTGAACAGTGCCTCGGTGGACGAGGTTCTGGAATGATACATTATCTTCCGGCTCCGAACCTGTATGAACATATGAAAATGTTACTAACACAGCAGTCAACAGTATTGTATTAACGCTTAGAATATTACCCTATAAACCATCTCTTACCAAACGTTCTTTGTAAATAGATTCTCCAAATTCTAATATACTAGCTGTATAAAAAAAAAGAAATGATTGAAATATTAGGTCAAAATAAGGACATAGATTAAGAAAAGTTTTAAGGTATAAGAGGAAAATAATCTCTCTTATTCCGTAATGATATTGTAACATTGTTGACTAGGTATATTCTGTAAGGCTAGAATAAAAACATTAAAGTTAGAATTTTACAATTATTATCATCAACTTACCGTCACGTTTACGTATAACTAATGTGGTTTCCGTTTTATAAAAGTCTTAAAATATACTTAACCATTTTAAATTTCTCACCTGCAGGCAGAGTGATGATCACTGCAGTAGTAGCACCCACAGTCCTTGGCTTTGTAGCTTGCAAAGGCAATATTATGTGCCCCAAGTTGAATAACTCAGGCGGAATAGTTGATACTTCTATTGTAACGTGGGCTCCATTCCGCGTCGCTGTGAAGAATCTCTTGTGTTCTAAACACAAGAAAGTAATACAAGTTTAATTATAAATATCTTAGTATTGCTTCATATGATTTTATAGCAAGCGACAATTTCTCATTTATCTCCGTTATATCCCATAATATAAGACGTACTCAGTACAAACTTTCATAAATTAATAATTTACCTCCGTCAAAGGCCACGGAGTCAACTCCATCATAACCCTGACTAAATAATATTTGCTCAATTATCAATTTCCTGTCAGGATCATAGGTCCCGGTGTAAAATGGCTTCTCGAAAACTGGAGTAATATTGTCGTCTTTTATAATCTCCAGGGTGATGACGGCAGTCGCGGTGCTGCTCCTAGCAGTGGCTACTATCTGAAGGTTGATGAAGCTGTTCTGGTCTATAGCAGTCTGATCTAATTCTGTCATTGACACTGTGACTATGTTGTCCTGAACGACGGCACTGAAGAATGCAGAATATTCTGAAACGTAATGCAATCATTGGGTGTTTTGTATTCGACGACGCATTTTAATTGACACAATCAGTGAAATACATCGTAAATTTACCGCTCTGTACGAAGCTGGCTGTCACAACGGAATCTTCGTAACCCTGACTGAGCAACAGCGGCGAGAGACGAAGGTTGTTATTTTCAATTTTACCGTCATAGTGGGCGCTTTCGAATTGCACAGGAACCACTGAAAGTAAATAATATGTGCATGAGTGTTTCCGATACCGAGCTGCAGTTTTCATTCGATATTAGCAGGTCTAGTTGACTTAAACCGTATATGGAACTATTATTATTTATTTCTATAAATCGCTTAGAGTCCCATCGAATTTGTAAAGTATTAGCTACCTGTGGGTAGGGTGACGATTAGTGTAGCTTTGGCCCCCACAGTCCTTGGTTTCGTGGCTTCCAAGGATAGTACAATGCGGCCCAAGTCAAACAGTTCCGCCGGGATAGTGGACACGTGTACTGTAACGACAGGTCCCTCCTGCGTCGCTCTGAAGAATACTTCGTGATCTATAAATAAGAAAGGCATCTTAGTGACGCAACCCTATGGTGTTACAGTGTCAAAAGGGAAGGCTACATTCAGCTACAAGTGCTGGTTGTGTTTTTTATTGAAAGCATTGCTTGGTGACGCAGTAGATATGTGTTAACAACGCGGCTTATTACCTCCTCTTAGAACCACAGACTCAACTCCATCGTAACCCTGTGTGAATACTATTGGCTGAACAGCCAAACCGGTCGGGGTGTTGGGATCATAGGTCCCGGTGTAAAATGGCTTCTCGAATACTGGAGTAATATTGTCGTCTTTAATAATCTCCAGGGTGATGACGGCAGTCGCGGTGCTGCTCCTAGCAGTGGCTACTATCTGAAGGTTGATGAAGCTGTTCTGGTCTATAGCAGTCTGATCTAATTCTGTCATTGACACTGTGACTATGTTGTCCTGAACGACGGCACTGAAGAATGCAGAATATTCTGAAACGTAATGCAATCATTGGGTGTTTTGTATTCGACGACGCATTTTAATTGACACAATCAGTGAAATACATCGTAAATTTACCGCTCTGTACGAAGCTGGCTGTCACAACGGAATCTTCGTAACCCTGACTGAGCAACAGCGGCGAGAGACGAAGGTTGTTATTTTCAATTTTACCGTCATAGTGGGCGCTTTCGAATTGCACAGGAACCACTGAAAGTAAATAATATGTGCATGAGTGTTTCCGATACCGAGCTGCAGTTTTCATTCGATATTAGCAGGTCTAGTTGACTTAAACCGTATATGGAACTATTATTATTTATTTCTATAAATCGCTTAGAGTCCCATCGAATTTGTAAAGTATTAGCTACCTGTGGGTAGGGTGACGATTAGTGTAGCTTTGGCCCCCACAGTCCTTGGTTTCGTGGCTTCCAAGGATAGTACAATGCGGCCCAAGTCAAACAGTTCCGCCGGGATAGTGGACACGTGTACTGTAACGACAGGTCCCTCCTGCGTCGCTCTGAAGAATACTTCGTGATCTATAAATAAGAAAGGCATCTTAGTGACGCAACCCTATGGTGTTACAGTGTCAAAAGGGAAGGCTACATTCAGCTACAAGTGCTGGTTGTGTTTTTTATTGAAAGCATTGCTTGGTGACGCAGTAGATATGTGTTAACAACGCGGCTTATTACCTCCTCTTAGAACCACAGACTCAACTCCATCGTAACCCTGTGTGAATACTATTGGCTGAACAGCCAAACCGGTCGGGGTGTTGGGATCATAGGTCCCGGTGTAAAATGGCTTCTCGAATACTGGAGTAATATTGTCGTCTTTAATAATCTCCAGGGTGATGACGGCAGTCGCGGTGCTGCTCCTAGCAGTGGCTACTATCTGAAGGTTGATGAAGCTGTTCTGGTCTATAGCAGTCTGATCTAATTCTGTCATTGACACTGTGACTATGTTGTCCTGAACGACGGCACTGAAGAATGCAGAATATTCTGAAACGTAATGCAATCATTGGGTGTTTTGTATTCGACGACGCATTTTAATTGACACAATCAGTGAAATACATCGTAAATTTACCGCTCTGTACGAAGCTGGCTGTCACAACGGAATCTTCGTAACCCTGACTGAGCAACAGCGGCGAGAGACGAAGGTTGTTATTTTCAATTTTACCGTCATAGTGGGCGCTTTCGAATTGCACAGGAACCACTGAAAGTAAATAATATGTGCATGAGTGTTTCCGATACCGAGCTGCAGTTTTCATTCGATATTAGCAGGTCTAGTTGACTTAAACCGTATATGGAACTATTATTATTTATTTCTATAAATCGCTTAGAGTCCCATCGAATTTGTAAAGTATTAGCTACCTGTGGGTAGGGTGACGATTAGTGTAGCTTTGGCCCCCACAGTCCTTGGTTTCGTGGCTTCCAAGGATAGTACAATGCGGCCCAAGTCAAACAGTTCCGCCGGGATAGTGGACACGTGTACTGTAACGACAGGTCCCTCCTGCGTCGCTCTGAAGAATACTTCGTGATCTATAAATAAGAAAGGCATCTTAGTGACGCAACCCTATGGTGTTACAGTGTCAAAAGGGAAGGCTACATTCAGCTACAAGTGCTGGTTGTGTTTTTTATTGAAAGCATTGCTTGGTGACGCAGTAGATATGTGTTAACAACGCGGCTTATTACCTCCTCTTAGAACCACAGACTCAACTCCATCGTAACCCTGTGTGAATACTATTGGCTGAACAGCCAAACCGGTCGGGGTGTTGGGATCATAGGTCCCGGTGTAAAATGGCTTCTCGAATACTGGAGTAATATTGTCGTCTTTAATAATCTCCAGGGTGATGACGGCAGTCGCGGTGCTGCTCCTAGCAGTGGCTACTATCTGAAGGTTGATGAAGCTGTTCTGGTCTATAGCAGTCTGATCTAATTCTGTCATTGACACTGTGACTATGTTGTCCTGAACGACGGCACTGAAGAATGCAGAATATTCTGAAACGTAATGCAATCATTGGGTGTTTTGTATTCGACGACGCATTTTAATTGACACAATCAGTGAAATACATCGTAAATTTACCGCTCTGTACGAAGCTGGCTGTCACAACGGAATGTTCGTAACCCTGACTGAGCAACAGCGGCGAGAGACGAAGGTTGTTGTTTTCAATTTTACCGTCGTAGTGGGCGCTTTCGAATTGCACAGGATCCACTGAAAGTTACCGCACAAATAGCTTTTCAAAATTTTATACAAAATTGTACAATTAAAAATAGTATTACAATAGCTACGAAATGCAATTTACTGTGAGTATACATTAAGCATATTAAATATGCTATGTTTTCAGATAATTTCGCCCTCAATTAAGAAGTAGCATACGTAAGCCAAAAATGACCAGATTTTTACAAGGTACGGCAATGTTGCAGCGTTTTGACGTGCATTTTTACGTTGTGTCAACGTTTGGGCCACGTTTCTACGTGTCCCCTTACTCATTTCAAGGCAGTTGTTTATTATTGTTGGCCTTAACTTTTGTTGGTCACAATTTAAAAAATAAAAAAAATATATATGTTCACTAGCTTCTTCCCGCGGCTTAGCCTGCATTCTACGGCAAACAAATAGCCTATGTAAACAAATCATAGTCTAGCCCTATTCCAAATTTCAATCCGATCTCTTCAGCCGTTTTGACGTGATTGAGTACAGACATACAAATAAACACACAAATTTCCGCATTTATAATACTAGAAAGATAGAAAGAAGTAAAATTAAAATAATTTAATTTTTAAAGCAATTTTTGTACCTTGAGGTAACTGCAAGATCACTGTTGCTGAAGCTCCGCTAGTAAATTCTCGTTCCGCTATTATTTCTATAGCGATGCTTCCTTGTAAGAGAATATCTTCTTCTAGTGGAACCAGTACTTCTATCATAATCTGATTTACCTGGTTTGGTAGTTTGACAAGCCTAAAATTGATCTTGTAAGCTATAAAAACATAAAAAATATTAATATATATATATATTTTTTATTATATAAGTAAACATTCTGAACGCGGCATTATTTTTTAAACGTATCTCATTGATATTTTATAGTAGGTTAACTAGTATTATTTTATATATTTAAGTAGCACGTTTCATACTTACTTTCTTCAACAGAAAAACGCACGAGGTCGTCATAACCATTTTGTAGAGATATGAATTCTTCTAGTTCTACTTGGCCAGCGGCTGTGTAAATTCCATTGTATATAGTTTTAGAAAATACTGGTTCGTTGGGCAGCACGAAATTTGTATTACCTTTAATAGTAATTTTACCACTTGTTGTATGTGACCCTTCGCCTTCTGTACCATGGACATCCTGAAAAAAGAACATAAAGCAAAATTAACCATTTTGACAATTATAATATATATAATAATAATAATATAATAAAATGTTTATTTGGTGTAAAAAGCCAGATTACAAAATAAATCTTAATATCTAAACAAAGTCTAAAAATATGTGAAACCTGAACTAGGTCCAAGCCTGTGTTTCAGGTTAAATTAGGACACTTATGCGCCTTTTTTAATCATGGCTCTTAATTTTTTTTATCTCGTGTCGTTTATAAGGTTATATAGGTACCTCTAATATACCGACATATCATCCGTAGGTGGGGGTAAGCTTGTGTTTGTGTATTCTCTCATTGTTTTTCACTTTAACTTGTTTAACTTGTATTTAGTAAAGATAGTGAGCGAGTATCTATGATTACATAAAGCGTATAGTACCATATATCTCAGCATGTACCTTTGGGCTTTAGAAAGTAATCAAAAACGTTTTGTTTCACTGCATAGATCTAGGTATATCAAACGAAATCTGTAACTTAAAAATAGCATTAATTAAGACTTACCGTAGCAGTTATGGTTAATGTCATTTCTTCCGGCAAATTTCTAATGAATGTTTTAGTAGTTACTATCGCTATAAATTCCTTACTTCGATCATTTGATAGTTCAGAACTGTAAGTAATTCCGAAAAACTGATTTTGTTCAATATCGAATATAATTCTTTCAGTTGTGAGGTCAACGTCTCGAGCAATTAGTTCGGACAAGCAGCCAGTTACTTGATACCCTGGTGGTACTGGTGCATCGAGGACATAATGATAGTGATCCGTCGGTATAAACCTCGGAGCGTGATTGTTCGTATCATGCAAATGTATCGTGGTGGTCTGCAATTATATAATAACAATATTTTTTAAGTAGATAAGTTATCACAAGTCTTACTGTGAGTAAGCTAATATTAAAGGAAAGACACTAATATCTTGTAGTCAATCAAATCTGGTCCAGTATTTTTGGATTATGGATTAAATCAGTTAAAATCTCTACGAATGTTTGTCTGTTTATTTGGGTCTTTGTTATCATATTTTTTATGTCGTAATAATTAGTTACACATTTGGCATTGCTTGCAACCGAAACATAATTTTGAAGAACCCATTTAATACAAAAATCGGTGCGGTACCATATTTGAGTACACTAATCGTTTGTTTATTATTGTGACAAAATAATGAATACAAGTATACAAATAGGCAATCAAATGGCATGTAAAGCCGGAGTAAGTGAAAAGTATCTCAACATAACTAAAAACCAAAATATGACTTACCACATCAAGATGATTATTGCTACTGCATCTGAATCTCACAATGATGACTATTGATCTCTCAACCTCATTCTCCTCATATAGTGAGAACCTTTCATTAGTCCTCATCACAAATCGAGAGTTCTCAAATTCCACGTCTACATAAGGAGGATCATTAATATTCAGACCATAAGTGTGTTGCTCTATGCCTAAAATATAAAACATTTTAATATACGATTATTTTTTTCGTATTTTTTTATGCGATAAGCCGGTTAACGAGCAGACGGATCACCTGATGGTAAGCAATCGGCGTAGCCCATAGACACCCGAAACACCAAGGGCGAACAAGTACGTTACCGGCCTTTTGGGAATTTGAGGATTGTGGAGGATTCGGGGATTGGGGGACTGGGGAGGAGGAAGGGGGTAATTGGGCTTCCGGTAACCCCAGTCACAAGACAAAACACAACGCAAGCGTTGTTTTACGTCGGTTTTCAGTGAGGCCAAGATATCACTCCGGTTGATCCTATTAGTGCTGATGCATGACTCTCCCACACTCATTTAAAGAATCAATGTATATTTTTCTCTACCTAACAGATGGTACAGATTTCATTGAAAAAGAAGCCCACCAGGTTTCTTCTTATAATCAGTTTTTGCTGTCATGTCTTTCAACCTGGATGAGGCGGGAGGGAGTGTCAGAAGTTACTGACTAAAACCACCCCGTTCCTACTCCTGCACTTCGAAGCCCCGGTAACCGTTGTCGTTCTCCGCGGCTCCGTATCGGTATCAGCCCTATTGGACCCCATTCGCGGTGGTCTGGCGGCTCTTTGAGGCGCGCGACGGCCCGTGCGCTCGGGTCTGGTTCTGGTGGCCGTCGGAGCTACCCATGCTCGCCATCCGCAGGCCCGTGCTTGCGGTGGCCGGAGATCGTCCCGCAATCTCCGACGCCCAGAGTGTCCTTCGCTACGGCTGTGTTGTGAGGAGGCAGCGTTTCGATACCTCACGTGCTCCGCCTCCTCCATAGCTAGCATTCGAGGCTCGAACACAGGCGTAAAGTCGCAAGCCTTTCGGTCTTCTATCAGATACATTTCGGTGAGTGTGCGTGGGAATAGCACAATCTAATTATCCCTAGACCGTTTCACCATCGTACTACTAGAATAGCGGCAGGGTGCCACCATTATAATATGGTGGAAATTCTATGCACGAAGTGTTTTGCATCTAATTTCTTTGTGCAAACCGCTAAGAAATGTAATTCCTTACCGGTATCTATCTTTCCCGACAAATACAATTAGGTTCTTCAAGTCCCGAGTGAACAAGTTGTTTATAGATAGGCAGTCTCCAACGTCGGCCTCATCATTAGAGGAAAGTGACCAAATATGGAATACCATTTTGTTTCTTATGCATAATTTTCACAAACGTTGCAAATAATAAAACTTTTTGTGGTAATTACAACAATTATATATTTTCGCTTTATTTTGTAACAAGAATTGCATACTTTTATTACTCTTGAGTTAAAAATAAAAAAAAAACTAAACGACAATAATGGTACCTAAATTTGGAATAGGTACCCCAAAATAATATGGAATAAGTACTATAAATACGATTAAAACTGAATCGGAACTTACATAAAACTCTTTAGAAAGGTTGGCACAACATAGAAAAGAACACAACGTATTTGCAAAAGTCACAAATCCAGGCATCAGTCTCTGCTCCGGGGCAATCAATATGTGCCCAGAGTCCACATATGAGGCACTTGACCCATGTTTCTCTATGAGTATCATTTGAAAACAGAATACCACAGAAAATACACTCCGAATCTTAAGAGTCTGGAGTTGTATTTCCTATCAAAGCATCGGGCTCACTGTCTGTATCAAACAAAACGATGGACCATTTCATAATTGGATTTTGCAACGACTTTAAACTGACATTAATATTTTTATGTTTAAGAAATAAATACAATTAAATACCACCGAAATCGACAAAAGAACATCTAAACTGTCTCTAAAAGTTATAAAATCAATACGATGTGCACTTTTTAAACGAAAAATGCGTATCTTTCACATACGTTAGAAAGTTATGCAGAACCGGCAAAACAAAACACTGCAATTTTGACGAAAGGCCTGTCCCGTAGATGGGGATAGAAACAAAGAGACAAACAGTGTTTCTTGCGTGTGTGAATTATAGTTTCTTAGTATTGCCTGTATTCCATATTAGGGATACTATTCCATATTTGGTCACTTTCCTCTACTTATGCGATATCAGGCGAAATGGTGGCCAAACGTCAACCTATCAGATATAAAAAAACACGTGATTGACTGATGTTGAACTTACCGGTAATGCCTGTAGTTTGCAGATCAAAAATAATGCCTTCATGTATATCGTTGATTAATGTGCTTATAGGTCCTCCTTCCCCTACTGAACATCCTGTAAAAGAAAAAATGTCTTACTAAAATGTACAGGTGACTTGTAACTCGACGTACTCCTTTCGAGAGATGATAATACTACTAATTTCCTACAAAAACAGTCCTGAAGTCAATAGTTCGATAATGGCCAGTTCCAAAGATATTTAAAATTTTCCGTTTTGGTGAAAAAATCCCAAACTAACTACTAAAACATCAATAAATAAAAAAACTACTGCATTGATTTATGTGATTTTTGTCTTAATATAATCAATTTATTAATAAGATTATTTAGATCTAGGCGCTTAGGCGCAAGAAGAAATAAGTCGCTTAATTAGTCATGAGTGACCGTCACAGAGATAAGGACGCCTGTGCGGGTATGTATCCATCGCAGGTCATTAATAATGTTTTTGCAATTATCCGTTTTCCTTTACAATCTACTGATCATCAAGTTATTAATATACTTTTGAGAACTTTATAAATAATGCAATGTTTTTGGTAGCTAATAAACGAAGAAAGTTTTTCTAATAGTTTGTAAGCCTAGCGTACCTAATATATTTTTTTAAAATTAAATCCGGTTTTCTATTAACCAAATTAGTGAGTAAACAAAATTTGATACTAATTTACCTGCTATTTTAAAACGATTTCTGTAAGTATTAGTATAATATGTAAAGAAAGAAAGAAAAACCATTTATTTCTGCGCAGAACACACATAGCATAATTATAAAATAAAAATAAAATAAAATGAAAGCTAATAAATTAAAAATGATGTATGTTATGTTATATTCATTGATTTATTAATAACTAGCTTCTGCCCGCGACTTCGTATGCGCAATCCCGTTTTATATAATATGAATGTTCTATATACATATGTTATGCTAATATATAAATCTGAAAAGTTTGTTTGTTTGAATAATTTACCGTTTGTTTGTTTACCAAATTAATTGTTGGAAGTGCTGGTTCGAATTGAATTAATAATATATTATTGTGTTGGATAGTCTATTTATTGAGGAAGGCTACGATCAATGAGAGCTGAGCAGAACAGGTGGAACCGCGCGGGAGTAGCTATACAATTATGGACTAGGATACTGGTAACTTATTAGGAACATTAATATATCTATATATACATATATATATAAATGAAACCCGTTTGGATATTTTATTCATTGACAATTTAAGTCAATACAATTTGATATAGTTTTCGAGTTAATCAGATGATGGAACTGTAAGACAGTCGACTGAACTCCTCGAGAGTTTACAGTATTGATCACATATTTAGGCTTGAATTATTTGTACTGATAAAAACTTTACACCTAGATGCGGTATGATTGTCATTAGGAGTCTGATGACGAAGTCGTATTACAGTTACTCGTCAACAGTAACAGTAGTTACTCTATCTTTAGGCTTGATTAATCTGTATTGATGAGATCTTTACACCTAGATGGGGTGTAATAGTCATACGGAGCCTAATGATGCGGTGTTTAATATTTTTTATTGTTGAGGAGTTTGCACGTATGTGGGCTATAAGAAGTACATACAATAGGTCTGTTTAGCCTTGTAATGAACTAAAAGGAATAAAAAGAAAAAACTGCTTGAAAAAGCCGACTTTAAAACTTTAAACAATTAAACCAAAAAAATATATATTACGTTTTTGTTATTAGTTGTAATTTTCAAGGTTAAAAGCTATATTAGTTTTTTATATTTAAGTGAGTGCCGCACAAAGGTTCAAATTCCTAGGTAGAAAAAGTATTACTATGTTTTTAGGTTTTCGAAATTAATTCTCGATAATAGCATCGAGTCTGGAATTGTTTCCCGTGTATGCCGATAGGCTCACCCGTTTTGGATGGGATTTATGAATATAGCTGGTGAAAAACGGACGTGACATTAAGAATGGGGATTCGGGGCCAGAGTTAAAATGCGAAGCATTACCTACAACAAATTACATACAAAAAATGACCCAAATTTTCAATGTAATCAATATTATCGATACCAACTTCTGTCAGTTTTTGCCCGCGGTACCAAAGTAGTCCAATATTTTTCTACAGTACAATCCATATATGTGGCAAATTCCAGCCAGATCCATTCGTTGTTTTTAGATGAAATAGGAACAAACACATTTACATATATCCTCGCTAACTTTCACATTTATAATAATAGTAGCCAATAACATTTTCTTACCTTGCGCAGAAACAGAAAGTTTGGATCCGAAAAATTCCAAAAAACTAAGTAATAATATTATAGTCCGCCTCCGGAGCCCCATTTTGCTACCTTTTTTCTGTACACATGTAAGTAACAATTAGGTGACACAATAATTAAGACACTTTATGTATTCACAGAGTTTTACTTTATCATTACTGTTTGCCCGCACTTGCACATGCCACTAAAAAAAAACGCACACACTAATTTCTACAAACAAAACCAAATTCACCTTCTATATTTTTATCAAAACGTCAGACACGAAAAAATCCTCACACAGAACTGAATTTTGTGTTGATATTTATCAATGAATTGATGATGATTACAATATCTGACGATTCGTATCAGCACGGAAATAATGCGCGATAAGAACATAATTATACATATAATATACAAATATACATGCCCTAAAAGATGTACCGAAATGTTCTATTATTTATGGCTAGGTATACCCACCCCCTCTTCTCTGAGCCTTAGAGCTGAACTGGTGATCAGTAGGTACTTGTGAAGAATGTTTTCGTGTAGACTTGTGTATCTACTTATTACAACCCCTTCGAAGTACTTATTACATTATAACATAAGAGACACACAATGTCGATCATTCCTACATAGGTAAAACATTATATTTTTAGACCATTGTCTTGTTTGGGAAACTTTTACCTAAATTACCTAAAAGTGACGAAAATCCTAGTTGGTTAAATACTGCTACGGATTTAAAACTATTTGATAATAACAAAAATTTAACCATAGCAATTACGTAGTTAATATAGTACACAATGTAAAATTTATTTAATTGCACATTGTATAAAAATAATCTTTTTTTTTGTTTGGTATAAATCCTAACGAGATATTTTGTGAAAAGATGATGTTTGCAACCCGAGCTGACTGTCGTCTACTTTCCACTAACTTAAGCGCCGCGTGCCCTTCTCCTTTGGTCGGGTATAGCCACTTATAAGCTGTTGATGACGATGTGTTTATTATGAAAACATGGTCATTATAAATTCCGAAAATAAATGCCCTGTGATATATCATGTCGGAAGGGTCCTTAGTACGGGACTTCGATGTACTACACAACGATGGAAAACCAACAAAAGGAATAAAGATGGCGTGCTTTACAGGTAATAGTGACGTCATGTCTGTCGAAGAGGAGGGGTTTAACATTGATTGGCGTTCAACATTGCACCACAGCACTCAATCTTGTCTTGGACTCCGAGCAAACAACTACTTGCTAAGAATATTGTTAGTCGATCAGTGTTCAGTGGTTGCAATCAATAGAATCAGTGTTGTGAATTTGTTATTGGTTTGAGAATAATAGTGAACATTATAATAAGAGTGGTTTAAACTTTGTTAACCCTGTTTGAACTTTAGAAGTGACTGAAACCTCTGAGTTTGTTTCGGCGTTTCTTCTCAGAGTAGCTCGTAAATAAACAAACATTTCATTACGAAGATTTTATTGTTTTATTGCTGCATACAGATACCTCTACCGATATGTATGACTCTCGCCCAATATCGCCCACACCACCCTCTGACATATTTATTATTCTTCTTTCACCTGTATTACTCTCGACTGAGTGGTCGTCGTTAACATGATAAGTCTGAATCAATTGCTGTAGCCCGTCTCACGATGTTCTGCCATCTCTCCCGACTAGCTGATATTTTTGTGCGCTCATGCAAAAGCATGTCAAAAGTCGTTCCCTTGATTAGCCAATCGCATCATATAATTTATGCACATATTATAATTGTGTTCAACTATTATTTACTTCTGAGGAGTATAAGTTCTGTTGTTTCTACTACAAATTACATTTTAAAGGTCAAAGTATTTTTTCATTGTAAGCATTTCATTTTCTTTGCATTTGGATGAAACAACGAGAAAAGTTTCAAAAATATTTAGAAACAGGTGTTGAATTTGACTTTATGACTAAGACATACTGTCGAACATATTATCTTTACATTAGTTATCTAAAAAAATGTTCCTATCATTAAAATATTTAGTTGTCGGTAAGGATAAAGATTTCCATTTCTTATTAAGCTATGACGTGCCGAAATAATCGGATATTTTATCAGTTTTATCGTATATTAGGTATATTCTGATATGGGTATGTATGCAAAGGCAATAATAAACAAATAATTTATAATATGTTGTCACATACCTATTAATAGATAATAGAAAACGTTTTAGGGGAATTCCTGGAAAAAGATTTTTGATTTTCATAATTACATCACGGATATTAGGATAGTTACTTTTAATAGTGAAATATGGCTGCCAAATCGTAGTTTTCAAAGTTTAGACTTGCATATAGAGACACTTCTAACTTACATATTTAATGTTAGACTTAAAAACTGTGGTGAGTGCCGTATCATATACCAACAATCATTACCTATTGTAGTTCGAACTCTGGACTGTGTGGTATTTTGGTAAATCCTAATAGAACTCAGGATATCGGTCAGAGAAATAATATTATTTGTTATGCAGAAAGCTTTCGAAATTTACGTGACGAAGATCAGTGAACTCATAATAAATGTGTCAACAGCCGGAACTGTTTTTGAAACGTTACACAATAGGGTATTATGTAGCGATTTTTCCTTTTCCCGTGGTACCAGTGAAATGCCACCAAGAGACTTATTTGTATTTTATGTTGTACGTTTTTGTTTTCAAGTTTCCATCTACTTATGAAGAATTAAATAGTACCTAAAGTTAAAAAATATTTTATGACGATATTTTGTTTTTTATTTAGTTGGGTTATTTCGCCAGCAAAAGAGTATTCATCATCATCATCGACAGCCAATAAGTGGCACCTTCTGACCAAAGGCATGGCATGGCAAGGCTCTTCTCGCATGGAAAAGGTTTGAACATTAATCTCCACGCTTGCTCAATGCGGGTTGGCGATTTGAAACTTATAATAAATGAGAAATTATAAGCCCAGGTTTCCTCACGATGTTTTCCTCCATCGTTCGTCATTGGTGTCTAAATAATATTAGAAAGTACCTATATATAACTCGGAAAAAGTCACATAGGTACTTGCCGTTGGTAGGTTCTATACCCACGCCCTCATGCATGGGAAGTGGGCGTCTTAAACCTCCGGGTAACCACGATAAATATATTTATAGTAAATGCAACAGCATAATATCTAATGCCTAAAAACGATTCGATTGAAAATCTAGTTGTTGTGTAGGTAAACTTATGACCTGTGCCTAGCTCTTCAGAGAGTAATAGCAGTGAGCAGTGAGTTATACAAGTTTTAAACAAATAACTTCTGTCAAAAGATTATGTATTACCAGTTATTATTAGGTCTATAAACAAACATAAATATGTATGTATAATTGAAATTGCCTGTTTAAAGAAAATTATCGACAATTTAGTTCAGTTAATTCTTCATTAGGCCTCTTTGTAAGGGTATTGACTTGCTCAAAGGTCACGACTTCGAAATCAGTAACTTTGAACTTTTCATGGCATGACATGAGGCAATTTGGTTCGGTTTCCTAAATTATCTTCCTTATTTTCAATATGGCAACTAACGAAAGGAGATGAAAACCTTTTAATGAGCTCAGTTATTTTCCTCGAATCCTTACAGAACACTTTTTAAACATATCTACCTTCTTACAAAAACTTCAGAAGGTATTATCTTATAAAAATAAATGTAAAAAAGGGACAGATTTATTTTAATACCTCAATTTCCTGGTCAAGCCCCTTGATTGAAGTTTTTGGGGAGAGTACGAGGAAAACGAGAGTATTTAAAAAGTTAAGCTTACTGTTACGGCCATGGTTAAAGTGATTTGTTCAATAAGAACTTCTTATTTTTAATGGATCATCGGATTTTGGATTATGAATTGTTTGGCAATAGAGATGATGTGAATCCAGTAAAGATTTTGACAAGAAACTTATTGCCTTTGTGCTATCAAAAGGTTACAGAGCTCAAGTTTGTCGCCAAATACCTCGTCAGATAATTTAAACCGTTGATTTGTGAATTTTGTTAGAATATAGTTTCAAAACATATACCTAAAACGTTAAGTAAAAACAAAGAAAGAAATGATTTGACTTGACGTCATCTATTGGTAGTAGAAGGGTAGGTAATACTTCGTATTCGGTCGTCAAATAAACTAAGTAACTTTAGGCTTCTGTTGATTGGGAGCATTACGCCGAGTTCGTGAAAACAAAATCATTAAACGAAATGAGCTGTGGCAGTGTTTTGGCTGTGTGTATGTGTTACACAATTAATTACATTTGTATCACTGTAAAATGTAGCATAATTCTAATATCCGAAGTGTAATATTAGGTGGATGGTGGAAGTAACATATCCGACGGGACCGAAACTAATAATATTTTATCAGCCCCGGGAATTGAACTCAAGACCTCGTACTCTGTTTTCGTGTTTATCAACGTCTGTAATTCTAATATGTTTGATAAAGTAGGAGATAACGCATATCGCTTATTCATAGCTTTTATAAAATGCGAGGAAAGTACCTACGGTGACTGTAGAAGGGTTATTGTCGAGCAATGTTCTACATCTACACAAATGTAGGTCCTGTATAAAATAGAGGGCCGTCGGGACATAGATGAACCCAGTCTGAGATTTATGGTGGCAAACGTGTTACTACGACGAAAAGAAGGAAAATCTTTGTATCTTCTTACATTAATACAATATAGCCTTAAGAAGTTGATAGACTAGAGATACACGTTCATAGTACACATATAATATTATATTTATTTTTCCTTTCTCTTTATTTAACCATACAATGTTGCTACCATCCGTGCGTCATTGCAAGGGTGCTCGCTGAAAATCAGTGCTGGGTGACTCGTGTGTCTAGAGCTTAGCTTAGATTACACTAAGTGGGTAACCCATTTAGCATGGATATATTGTTAGCATGTTTCTTTTATGATTACACGCTATATCTCTTATCGTCATTATTCTTTATTTTATTTATGCTGCATGGTGCCTGGTGCTGAATAAATGATTATTTCTTTTTTTCTTTCTTAGAACCACGTTTTACTTATAATCTAATGAGTCACTGAACCAACACCTATAGTTTTCTATTTTGGGACGACAATCATCAGGATGCGAATTGAGTATCAGCAGAAATTTCATAAGGTTAAGTTTTATTGTTGACTTCATATTAGGTATAAGCACCGGTTACTGCTTTCTATCTGGTGGAAGGAGCGTGTTTTCCTCCATAGTTCCTGTTCATACATGGCCATACCAAAAATGTATAGATTATTTAACTGCTATGGTGACTGATAATGTTTGCAATATTTATAATTATAACTTTTGCGAGACATACAAAATAAATCATTATGATTTCGGCTTACTCACGTAACTGTTCTATTCTGTACTTCTAGGATAGCCATACATATAATAATTAATGTTTGCAATGTTGTCGGTCAGAGCGTAGAATCTACATGTCATGAAGTAAATAATTACATATAATAAACTTTCCTAAAAGACTAGGTGCTGGAATGTACAATGTGACAGTGATTAGTATTGATTGCGATGTTTCGTTGTTTTCAAACTATGCGTAGGCGTTTGTACGAGCTATGGGGACCTGGGAATTGTTCGTAAAATCCACGGAATTCAAAGCTTCGTTGTGTTAGAAAAAAGTTGGTATGTAGGTTTAAAAATATCGTGTGAGCTTTTTGTACCCAAAATATCAGCTTGTACCTAATTTCATTCTAACTTGATTAAGAGATCAACTGATAAAAAAGTTCAGATTATTTTTTACAGTGAAGCGAGACTATCATTATCCATTCGAAGATAAAATTTGAAAGTAAGTTATTGAACTTAGTTTTAAACGTTATCGTTTAGCTGTTGAGGTAGATCTTCAAAATTTATATTCTTTGATCATGTTTATTACGTATCCAACATAAAAAAACAATACAATGTTGGTTACTGATTTGGTTTCACATCCTTCAAAATGTTCTTAGAAGCGTTCCTGAGAATATTGATCCTTTTAATGTTTCTCGGAGAATCTAAAAATACCGAGTTTGTCGAGTTCGGTCTCAATATATTTATTTACTTATAAGTGCGACTACCTTGTTGTTCGAGTGGTCACAAATGCGATTGCAGCGCAAGGGGTCTCGGGGTTTGATTCATGAGTCGGGAAAAGTATTATTGGATTTTTTTAACACATTCTCAGTATTAGCACGGAGTCTGGAATTGTGCCCGATATATGGTAATATGTTCACCCCCTATTACATTTCACTCAAAACATAAATAGTGAGAGGTGGGCGTGACATTGTACAGTGGCATTAAGTGCCGCAACGTGCGCCTCTGCTTACCCCTTCGAGGTCGAAAAGGTGTGACGTTATGTTGTGTTATAAGTATGTATTATAAAAAAAGATCAAAGCTCTATAAATAGTTTGTTTGGCAGCAGACAAAGTTTTCAAATAAATTATTCTTTCAAAAAGTTTCAAAGTCATTCGAACGCTAATGCTATTGATGCGTGTAGAGAAAGCAAATAATAAAGTTATTAATGTTATCTATCTTTTGTTTGTTAAAGATAAATTTCGGTATATTAAACATAAGATGGTTGACATAACTATGTTTAAGTAGATTATGATTAGTTAAATCTGGCCAAAGAACAGACATCACCATTTTAAACTTTGAATTGAACTCGTGGTAATTCCCGTGCATAGACACTGTTTTCAAATGTATCTATGTTGCATATGACATCATCAGTTATCAGTGTAAGTGATATAAGGCCATACTTTTGATAAACGACTTTTTTATTTTACAAGAATTCACATGTACTGATATTATCTAGGTTTGTATCTTGGTATTTTCAGTAGCTACCTGCTTCTGATATCTAGTCTAGAAATGTTCTTAGCAAGCTTCGTTTGTTACTTTTAATTATTATATTTCATCCAATATCTGTTTTAAATTAAAACAGGATTCCTTTCTAGAAAGGTTCCTATAGCTTTACATAACAAACAAAAGAAAATAATGTCTAAGTATATACACAGAGCACACAATATTTTGTAAAATGAAAGACACACGTGTGAAGGTAAGTAAAAAGAAATCTGACGTATGCGGATCAAAAACATATTATAATCAATGCTATCTATATCTAGATATGAATTGAAAGCCGTAGATTAAATATAAATGTTTTATTGCCTCATATTTAAAAATACAATACTTTCTTGTAGAATAGGTACCAGAGAATCCTTAAAAGACAATTCAGAGAAATAAGAGTACGTATGTACAATAAAAAGATTTTGCGTGTAAAATATGATGTAGTGAGTTTAGTGCCAAGTATCAATCGTGGTGACGTCATGGTTTTGTTCCATGCTATCTTGAGGTTTCCTATTCACTGACACATTCAATGCTAGCAGATGTTGTATCGGCAGCCGAGGTGATAGATTCACCATACTCGCCCACTGTCCAGCACAAAGTTCAGGGAACTTTAGCTTTTTGAGAAAATGTCCCTCAAGGTACCAGGGTGACACGCAGGTCGGAGAGTAGTCCCATATTTTCATCTCATTTAAACGTACCCAGCTGGAAAATAACAAGTTTCAATTAATAATTTTAGTTTTCATTTTAATTATAGGGGCTTAAAATCTAAACACTTTAACCGCACGGGTGATAAAATCATAAGAGCTATCTATGCTAATTATTATGATACGAATTTCTAAGTAATTTTAGATACTAAAATTATTGAAACATTTTAATTTTTCAGTGATAATATCATCGAAGTACTTAGAATAAAAATGTACAATCTGATCATCACGATTAGATAGATTTGATTTGATTGTTATTTCATTTGTATTTGATATTCAAATAAAATATGACTAGCTTCTTGTATTTAATTCCGGTAACACTTTCAAAATAATATCAATTTCTTCCAGTTTTTTAACTTTTTCTACTTTTCATGTGAGCGGTACTTAAATTCGATTTGATTATAAAAGAGTAGGTACCTAACAAACAGAATTACATTACATTTATAGCTAAATTAAATTAAAGACATATTTATCGATAAAATCGCAGCCATTGAAAATTATTATATCTTTAGAATTATGATTAAAAGTCGGGAGAACTGTTTTAGCCTATCTGCTGTGATCTATAGATAGAATTTATTAGACAAAATTGATTATTAGAAAATCATTTATTATTTAATTGATAAGCATACGTGGCATTAGTTTAAGTACCAGGATAACCGAGCTTTGCTTGGTGTTATTTTTAGTAAACGACCTTTTGCTAAAAATGATACCAAGCTAGATCGATTTATCGCCCCCGGAACCTTGTATACAAAATTCCAAGAAAATCTTTGGAGCCGTTTCCGAGATCGTTGATACATTTTATTTTATTTTATTGATTTGGCTCAGCAACAATAAATTGATTACACTTATATCATAGGGTTACATTTACGAAAACTTAAATACTGGTGCATCAATATATTATACACATTATATATGTACAAGACTTGTTCGTTTAAAGGTAAGTAAGTATTAAATAAATTAGCTAGAAATAATATTAATTATTATAAATTAATAATTAGAAAGTACTAGAAATAAATTAGCAGTATGTTATCATTATTGGAATAAAATAAACAGAAATCCGAAGTCATTTAAAGCACTTAAACCAAATACTAAACATTTAGTTGAAAACGTTATCCGTTTTTCGCTATACTCCACACTCTATTCTTACCTATTCCTTTTCATTCCACGTTCCGTATTGCTTATTATTTCACAGGCGGTTTTGCTTAAGGCGCGAAGAAGTAAGTGCAAACATGTGCAAACTTGTACACAATCTATAGATACGTTCATAGTCTAGTTATGCAGCGGAAATGGACTTTGCGACCTGCATCTGGAGATAATGTCATTTGCATTTAAAATGCGAGTTACTTACGCTGAAATATACAATGCATGGCAGTCGCAGTGCCACGGGTTACCGGATAGCTTTACGATCGCAAGTTTGGGCATGTAGTCCAACGTACGCGACGGCAGTGAAGGGAACATGTTGTTATCTAAATGCCTGGAACAGAATTTTGTTTATTTAGGAGGAAATATTGGAAATTAAAGAAAGTATTATGATATTTAAAGATCGTAATAAGTGAGAAAGTCTTAGATGCCGAACCAAACTCAAACACCTCGTCCTACGAGTTCTCGATGTACCTATGTATTTTTATCATCAAAGTAAAGATTAGATTGGATTTATATCTCTAGTTCCGTAAATCAGATACTCACAGGGTAGTGAGATTTTTTAGCGTCGAGAACGTTTTGAAGTGAACTTCGAACAACTTATTTTCAGACAACAAGAGCGAGGTGAGATTTTCCAACCCGAGGAAAGTGGTGACGTTTAAAAATCTCAATTTATTCTTCGACAAGTCCAATTTTTCCAGGTTGGTGTTATTGGAAAATGTGTAATCTGGAAGTTCCGTTAAAGCGTTGTCCTTCAAATCCAATGTTCGTAAAAGCTTGAGATTTTCAAATTCCACACCTGTTAGCTGAAAATTTTCCACGAATTTATCAATCTTGAAGCATTTGTACTTAATATTTACCGGATTTGTCTGCATGGTTAGTAGAGATGTCGCAGTGGGTAAAGGGTAACCTAATTTTATGATTTTAGAAAATTAATTATTAATTTTGATCGAATTCTTGTTGGTGATGACAGTAAGTCCACATCTATTACACGGGACTCCCACCTTAACTACTGAAAAGTGAGTGTCACATTTAATGTGTGTCCCTTGGGCTACATTATATTTAAATCTAACAGAACACAAACTTACACTCATTAAGTTGTTGCTGGATAAATCTAAGAAGGTTAAACAATCCACGTTGTGAAACAGACGAGTAGGAATGCTTTGTAACTTATTTCGCTCCAACAGTAAAGTTTCCAAAGCTTGGAGGCTCTCAAAGGCATTTTCACTTATATTACATATTTTATTGTCCGACAGTTTTAATATCTGAAGTGTTTTCAATGAAAAAGTTCCGTTTTCGATTCGTTGAATTTTATTTTTGGACAAATCTAATATTTGTAGAGAATCGAGACCTACGAAACTGTCTGAAGGCATATACACAATGTGATTGTTAGAAATATCGATGGTTTCTAAAAATGAATTATTCGCGAACATTTTCTCTGGCAAAGAGTATAAAAAGTTGTTTGAGAGGTCCACGTGGAACAGTTTCTTTGTTGATCTGAATGCTTGACTATCAATTTCTTCCAGGTAATTTCTTTGAAGCCTCCTGTAAACAGATTTCGTTTAACATCCGCTTTCTAAAAAATTCAAAGTTTGTGTGTTTAGGCTGGTAAAGATGGGTACACCAACCTAAAAATATATTATCGACTTTAACACAAAACAGTAAAGTTAAAAATCGATTAAAACACAGATTAAAGTAGGTTGATGTAGTGCTGCTTGCCCAGTATGGAACTTTTGGGTTAAAAATGTACGTAGGTGACAAAAATAAAATATATAATATATATACATATATATATTATTTTATGATTACGACTACCTACTTAGTTCCGTATCGAATTATTAGATATGCAATATAGTGTGTATGTATAGGAAACACTTATCTAAGATAACATAATTGAGTAATTTCTTTGATTACAATAGGATGTTATTTATTTTGTTTAACAAAACGTAGGTAACGATAACATTTACCATTAAGGGGCGATTTTTCAATTATCAGTTAATTTTTAACTGTACAATAAAATTGACAGTTGATATCTTTTAGATACTGTGGAAGAATTGTCAAATATTCAAAGTTAGTTTTCAGTTAAATAGTGAAAAGTGGGTGTTACATTGTACAGTGGCATAATGTGCACCTCTGCCTACCCCTTCGGGATCAAAGGCGTGATGTTATGTTATGTTAAATTATGTTTTCAGTTAATATTTATTTCGAAACATCGGCCTTAGACTCGGCCAAAATTTAGTGCTACTGAATTGTTGTTTTCACAAAAGATTGTAACAGCATAGGTGGAGAATTTCTTAATTGCATGTATTTGTTTATGTTTAGGTTATCATCATCATGTCAGTGAGAAGACGTCCACAGCTGAACACGAGACCCTTCCAGTGGCTTATAAATTAGTTGGCTTCTTGCGGCCATTACTAGAGGCCCTAGTACGAGTTTGTTTCACGTTTAAAGTAACCGAAACGAGGCTGCGTTCGGCGCTCTGATTGGTTAGTTTTTTTTAGCCGTCCAATTAGAGCGCCGAGCTGTACTCGTTTCGATTACTGAACACAAACTTGTACTAATATCTCTGGTCGTCTGTCAATCTTTTATTAAGACGTCCCTATGATACAAAGTGTAGGTACTTATGTTATAATTACTCACAAGATCCTCAGATTGACAAGTGAATCGAATATCCCAGCTGGCAGGTACTCCACATGGTTGTCGAACATGTCTAGTTCAGCGAGCGACCGCATTCCTTTAAACGTCGTCTTGTGCAAAGTCCGCAGTTTATTAGTGCCCAAGTCACTGGAAATGATTAACGTAGATTCATGATGATCTTGCTGTATTCCAATGAACCATGAAGTACTAGACGAAGGGTGGACTTATAAGAGCCATGTTGTCTCTCTTGACATTCAAAAACTGCTGATTCTGTGTAAAACCTTATTTGAATTGATGGTTTTTCATTGCCTTAGAGTATTTTAAGGCGATACTTTATTTAGTGGAGTTTTCAGTAGTTAATTAAATTTTTTGTGTAGGTACCTAGGTAAGCACATTCTTAATGAGATAATAAATATGAATGTTTCCAAAAGTCAATTATAAACCTCGTAAGTAACATACGAAGTGTGACATGGGGTAAATAAATTCTCGTGATTATAATTTGTTCGACGTTTTTCATAAGATTGCATCATGGTTATCATGGTGAAAAGCTGAAAAAGTATTTAAGATAAAATAAAAGTGTTTATTTAGGAAAGGTCCGATAATTTTTGACTTCTGTTCCGACTTCTGTTCACGACAATTTTTTTAAGTGTATAACTATATACCCTTGTGCTGGCTGTTAAGTAATCGTTCTCGGTAACTGTAAAATTGATATAATTATAACAAAAAAATCTGGTTTATACAGGCATAAAGATAAAAAAATTATCGTCAATGATATCGAAAAGTACACCGCCTATCCTAATTTAATATCTATTATTTTGAAAATAGAGCTCTCATTACAATAAAATGATAAATAGGCTACCGAAAATAATCGAATTGAATAAAACCATTTATAGAACGCGGTTTTCAGTTAACCGTATTGACTTATTATTAAATTTCACTTCGAAAACTTTTAATAGGCGGCAGACTTAAAAATACCAATTAGGGATCATAGAGAATCAAATATTGAGTTATTAATAGACAAAAGGATTATCTATAAGCTTTAAATTAATAAATACGATCGGTACCATCAAACTTTCTTGTCATTTTAAATTACGCCACACATTACGGAGGACAAACTGTGATATTATCTGACTAGGGGGTGGGAGGGAGTCGCGGAGAACCTAACGGGTAACCGGGGCTCCGGCTCGACGTGCAGGAGAAGGAACGGGTTGGTTTTTAGTCAGTAAGAGTTTCCCTTCCGCCTCACCCAGGCGGGAGCAGTCATTCGATGATTTTCCCTATTAAAAAAAGGGGGTGGGAAGAAGGGAGGTGCCGTAACAGGCGTTGCACTGTGGGGGCTCCGGAGTTGTTCTACTAAGAGGACCCGGTGCCTCCTTCAAGTGTGGATGGTGGCCACCGGGGAGGTTTTAGTGAGGTAAAATACCCACACTCCCTAGTCTTTTTCCCCAAAAAGCTAGGCGCCTTTGGAAGGTTTCCCCCCGTCAAAAAAAAAGGGGTTGGGAGGAATTCTTAACCTTATGACGTCACATCTATAACATTATTGTATTTTATGTTATTGCACGAACTATAACGCCTGAAAAAAAAACGTAATTATTATTATACTATCGAACGAATACGAAGGCTACTCAATTTTAAGTTGTAATTAAATATATATCGTGCCATCTCTGTCATTTTACAAAGAATTTGTAGTGACAGAACTATACTTCAGCGCAAGTTAAAACTGAGTGGCGTTTGAGTATTTGGACATATATCTGTGTAAATTATAAGTTATTAAATTGTTTTGTCGACCACTCGCTTTAATAGTGTTAGGCGCGAAATAAAACCGATTCCGGAACCGCGTTTTCCATTCAATAATTTATATGTGTAAAGAAAGTGTTACATTCGGAGGCGAGGTCTCTTAAATACTGTGATGAGGTCCGCGGGAGCAGCAAGAAATTATGAAATTCCTGTGACGTAATTTATAAATGACCCTTTTATAGAAGACAAAGCATTTTGCTTTTTTTCAATTAATAAGTAGACTAATCTTTGAAAGTAGATTCATTTTGCATTTGATAGCCCTAATCTTCATACTTATGAGTGCGACAAAAGGACTTCAAAGCTATAGATAAGCTAATCTTTTAGATACGATGCTTCGACAAAGAACCGTCACGTCATTAAAATATTTGGTTGCAGTATTAAATTCCTTATACATATAAGGAATTTTAATTTTAAAAACGAATGTGTAATCCAAAAGGCGTGAGTGTTTATATTAAAAAACTAATAACAAACAAAAAGTCAATACTAAAAAGCAAAAAATAACTATTATTAGTACTGATAGGTTACCCACCCACTGATAGGTAAGAAGTCGGTGCCATAAGTTCCATACAAAATTATTCATTAAAACCTTAATAGGTACCTAATTCACAATTTTGTGGGCATTAAGTTATATCATTATAATATGAGCTTATGGCACCGACTTCTAACCTATCAGTGGGTGGGTAACCTATCAGTACTAATAATAGTTATTTTTTGCTTTTTAGTATTGACTTTTTGTTTGTTATTAGTTTTTGGTTTTTTGAAGTCGGTTTTTTAAACGCAGTTTTTATTTTATTATTTTATCATTTTTAGTGTAAAGCTACATAATTATACCCGTTTTGTTACTTATAATCTACATAGGTGCAAAGTTCTAATCAATACAAATTATACAAGCCCGAACACAAGGTAGTTACTGTTTACCGTTAAGGAGTTCCCTTAACAATTACACTTCTTCATCATCAGAACCTTAATGACAGCACAACTCTATATAGGTGTAAAGTCCTCATCAATACAAATTAATCAAGCCCAAACACAAGGTAGTTACTGTATACCGTTAAGGAGTTACATTAACAATTACACTTCTTCATCATCAGATCCTTAATGACAGCCCTACTCTATTTAGGTGTAAAGTCCTCATCAATCCAAATTAATCAAGCCCAAACTCAAGGTAGTTAATATAAACCTCTGAGGAGTTCCCTCGACTGCTTGTCGGCTCCATCATCAGGTCAACTCCAGACCCTTATCAAATTGTAGTGTTTCAAAATCCTAATTGAAAAACATAATAGACGCATTACTTGCCCATAGAATTTTCGAAAGTTCCCCTCGGTTTACCTAGGATCCCATCATCAGATCCTGACCTCATGGAAATGGGACCATCTCGGGAGTATACCCTTTCAAACAAAACAAGAATTTTGGAAATCGGTTCACAAATGGCGGAGTACTGCGCGAACAAATAAAAAAAAAAAAAAAAAACAATCAGCCGAACATAGTACCTCCTCCTTTTTTTGAAGTCGGTAAAAATTAGTGGACTATCATTGCTATATTTGAGTAATACTCCAATGAAACGTAATATAAGATGTTACATTTAACATGCAACAGTGTTAGAGAGTCATGCTTGCATGCACGAATGGACCGGCTCGACCGGAGTGATATCACGGCCTCACAGAAAAGCGACATGGAACAACGCTTGCGTTGTGTTTCGTCGTGTGAGTGAGGTTGTCGGAGGCCCAATTGCCCCCCCCTCCAGTCCACAATCCTCAAATTCCCAATTGCTTACCATCGCCAATTGCTTACCATCAGGTGATCCGTCTGCTCGTTTACCAGCTTAAGCTAAAAAAAAACATGTCAATGTCTATTTTAACATGTTTATATTTAGCTATATTATTCTTAAACTGTCAAACACCAAGCGGTCACCGGTGACCGCAACCTATTGTTCTATAATTGTGTCTACAAAGACGGTACTCGACGAGTTAATCAATTAGTAGCATTTAAAAGTGATGTACCGATTTGTATATATTGCAATTTAATTGATAATACAGAGTATCAACTAGCTATGCCTCAACATTGTTTCAAAATATTCGCCTTTAAAAACCAATTGAATAAGAATTATATTTCTTTGTGTATTGTTCTGAACAATCTTTAGTAGGTTTATTTTCCAGGTGATATGATAGGTAAAGCTGCATTGTATGTAAGGGGATAATAGAAATTCTTATGCGCATGAATAAAGGATTAGTGTCAGTCTGGGACAATTGTTTGTAATTTGTATTGACTTATTTCAAGTACCTATGCAATATTATTTACATGTTTTAGTACCTATTATCTCCGAGACTGATTTGGTACTAAGTTTCAAACATATTACAAAATAAATTATAAGTTAAAAATACTATTTGAAATTATATTTTTGATGATCTGGATATCAGGGTGTCTGGCTTTAATCACTGCTGAATACCTCAAAGATTTTTAGATCGTCTTTAGTTAGATTATTTATAAAAAATTAAATCGAAAATGACTGTTTAGATGACTCACTATTCAAAGAAATAACACTTTTTTCGTGTTATGAACACCGAAAAGTATCAAAATTTTATTATGAAGTAAAAATTGTTAAATTGATGAGTAAGTATAATAATGACAGTACCTACAGAGCAGGTATAGGCAAAGTGAAAATCCTTTAAAACCAAGTGTAAGATAACTTTAATTTTCTTTTTATCACATCTTACAGTATTTCACCTAAACCACTTTCTGTCTCCTAGGTTCAGTCTTTTACTGACAGGCAGCCTTGATTGATTGTAGCAAAAAATACAACTTTTTTCGACAAATAACATTATTGTAGATAAGTATAACCTATATAATTCAGCTTACCTAGGTTATCTTGTAATAAATGGTGAGATAAAAGTAATTTGAATTGAGGTTGTTCAATCGATTTTGATTACAATTAAAGATAGTTATCATTAATTTGGTAAGCATTAAGTAGAGTATATTTTAGCTTTATTATAGTGACTAGAGAAATCTATAGTTATTGGAATGAAAGACTACGAGTTAAAGTGTTTATATCAGATAATTTGATAGGAAAGGTATATGCGAGAAACATTAAACTCATAGATTTCATCATTGTTTAAATAGATGTTAAGACTCCTAGAATCAAAGGAAAATCAACCTTAGTAAATAAAACGTAACTTACATATTAACTAAGTCAGCGGGAACAATCAGATCTGGCGTGAGCGTTGTGAAACCTGCCCTCCAGCAATTAAGTGACCGTCGCGCAGAATCGCATCGACAAGCACTTTTCGCACATTGCCTCCACCGAGATTGGCCGAAGCTTATAGTCCAAGCTGTAAAACCAATCGAATATTCCGACTATAGGAAATGTCCAATTACATTTCGTCTATACATTAACTTTACGTTCCATTTTGACTGCTTTATTGATTGAATTTGTGGCTCGTTATTTGATTTTGTGGTTTAATACCTAAATTTTTCATTGACATCGTTGAATCCACAATGTGTCATTGTACTTGATCGATTGCAATTAGCACATTAAATTGTGCCTATTAGTTAGTAACACATCGCTGTCTAAATTCAATATAAATTCAAAGTACTAGGTGGAGACCATATACTTTGAACAGGTTTTATAAAATCACGAATTTGAGTTATTCGGCATGTACCTAATTATGTAACATTATCAGTTAATAAGTACAATCATAATAAATAACTCTACACTTACTTTTTAAAGACGGTTTTTAAAGCACAACTATCGGCCTGTTTCAATATCTTATCTATCTATAGGTTGCTTTGGAAATAGGTCGTAAAGAAACCATTTGGTCCTACGAAACTTCGCCCCTTAAATAACTTTTACACCAATTAATCTTAATATCATAGCGCACTTTAATTCAAGTTTTCATATTCCACGTGCAGTAAAGTGGTGTCTCCTTTTAACCCTCGGGATTTGCTGAATTATGTACGGATTTACTCGTGTCTTTAATTAACGTTGGTATGCTTTCAGTATTTAAGGAAAATATGACTATTTTTAACCTGTAGTTTATTATAAAAACACAGGTTTATTATAATAATAATCTATTTAAAGCTGAAGAGTAATTTTTTTTTCAACGCATTAATCTCGGGAAGTAATTGATCAATTTGTTTTTTTTATGTTTGACAGTGCTGTTAACGAGGAAGGCCTAAAGCTATGAAACATTACGTGACTATCAATAAGAGCCGAGCAGCGGATAAAATTCGTTAATCGGGATCGCGGGTTTCACCAATATACTGCATTGGAAGTCCAATGCACAATGTTTTTGTTTTCTTATATCTATGTCTCTTTGTACTAATCTTCACGAAATACTTAAAGTATTATGATTACCGTTAACGGATTTTGGATAGGACCTACTGATGATAACGCGATATGGATATTGTACAGAGAAGTGTACGTAATGTAGCACTTAGTGTTATCTCATAGTGATGCAAATCTACTACACACATAACACAGGCCCAATTACTCCCCCCCTCCCCAGTCTCCTCAATCCCCGAATCCCCCGCAGTACTCTAATTCCCAATCCCCAAAAGGTCGGTAACGCGTTTGGAACGCCCCTGGTGTTTGGGGTGTTCATGGGCGACGCTGATTGCTTACCATCAGGTGATCCGTCTGCTCGTTTACCGGCTTATCCCATAAAAAAACACGTTGGTTTGTCATTTTACCCCTACTTAGGTACTTGATAACACATCTATTCAAAGCAAAGAAAAAATTTGTGGCATTTTTATCGATGTTTTTGAATCACTAGAGCTATCATGTTCAATAATAGAATATTCCCAAGCGGTCATCAGTGACCGCTCTCCACTAACTATATTATAGACCCCATGTCCAATGTTTAGAGACTACTTTTGTATGAACAAATGTAGGGGATGATTTTCAACAATTTTCAATGGGTTAATAAGGTAAAATACGAGAATTGCTACATGTATCTTGATATTATACTTATTATTGACAAATCCACTGGGTTACGATCATTGATAGCTATAAAAATCAGGATTGTAAGACAAATTCAATCTATTTCTATCTCACCACCATTTTGACCTAATTGTAAAATTGTTAAAAAGTGAAGTCTCAGGTGTTCTCACTTGGTTGTTCAATGGCCCGTAATCGTCGATCCAGTTGTCGCCAGTGCAAGTCCAGATTGCAGGATCCTACTGGAGGAGGGGAGTCGATAGTTCGACTGCCTCTTGTGAACATGTCGAAGACGTCACACGCGTTTAAAGTGCAGGGAGTCTCAGCTGCCTGAAACACTGATAATAAAACAAATGAGTCTTAGCAAGGGGTCTTAAATATTACGCACGCCTCTGTAATTTTAATACAAGGATTTTAGACTGAGGACTAAAATGCAAGGTTTATAATTACGTACTTTGTAAGTTCTACAAATGTGGTAAGGAAGTGTAGCATACGGTAGGGGGTCGTGAAGTTTCTTGTTTTTAAAAATTAAAGGCCCTGTACCTATTCAATTAATCTAATGAAAATAACACAATAAAAACAGCATCTCTTCTGTCTGTTGGGCAAATAATGAATTTTGATGCTGAAGGAAATTTGACCAAATAAATCAGAGGTTCTAAATAGGTTATAAGATACACACATTTCTATGAGTAAAATTATCAGATTAGTTTTGATCAGACGAGATTGAGTATAAAGAACATAATATCAACATAACATCACGCCCTTTATCCCCGAAGAGGTAGGCAGAGGTGCACACTACGAAACTTAATGCCACTGTCCAATGTAACATCCACTTTTCACTATGGGTGAGCCTTTTGCCATATACCACGTACAATACTAGACTTCGTGCTACTACTGTGATTTAAAAAACAATCCCGTAATACTTTGCCCGACCCGGTAATCAAACCCGAGACCCCTTGCCCAGAAGTCGCAGTTGTGACCAGTTGGCCGACGAGGCAGTCAGTATAAAGGATTTGGTATTAATAAAAACTACTAACCTAAAAGTAAAAGTAATTATTGGCACATGGCGTTACAGTTCCTTAGAATTGGAATGAATCAAAATCAGTTTAAATAAAGTTCAAATATTTTAATTACACTTCAATCATAAACTGTTATAGTTATTTAATTTGTATTAGCTACATTGAATAAACACGAGCTTATGAATTCAGCGTTACATTAACTTCTATATTAAAACACTATTTAATTAATTTACATAAAAGTGGAATAACTATGACAATGCTACGAAAATTCATTTCATATTAAAATTGTGGTCAGAAAATACGGATGTAGTTAGACGAACAACATTTATACGAAAGCCACTTTAATTTCCACATGAATATTAAACTGACTGCCTTAATTTTCCGGTGGTAGTAAAAGAACAAGAAAGAGTTTTGGTTCCATTGTTTGTTTGGAAAAATATTAAGCACTTTTCGAGTTTCGTATCTACATTAGATAACATTATGTCTTTGTCTGTGGAGAATGAGATTGGTTTATATTACAAAGAATTCTGAGCTATATACTTCTTCATCACCAGTCTATAGGTGGCCTCTATTGACTAATAGCCTCTTCCCGCACGGAGAAGGTTTTCAGCATTAATCACCATACTTGCCCAATGCGGGTTAGCGATTTTAAACTTAAAACTAGAAATTATAAGCCAAGGTTTCCTTACGATGTTTTCCTTCACCGTTTGTCAGTAGTGTCTAGATAATCTTACAAAGTATATTATTATAATTCGGAATAAGTCGCAGTATTTCATGAGAAGCAGGGCAGGCCTCATAAATCCGGGCCACCGACTAAGGTAAATGCTTAGAGGTTTTGTTTGAAGCCGATATTTAAAGGTCACTTATGTAAAAGGATAATAAATTAAACTGAATCTATCAAAGTTCGGAAAGTAAAAGCAGAAATTTTAGGCAATGATGGCGCTGCCGTCGAAAATCGTCCGCAAGTAATTATTGATAACGCAGATCGGAGGACCACTACTGAATATAAATTAATGTCCCAACATTGCCATTCTTCGCAAAGAGTCCCTTGATGTCATTGCTAAAACGAATTTATTTTGCCAATGCGAAAATGATTTTCCGCTAGATTTCTTGCGATAGATATTCTGCTGATAGCGGTTTTATTAAATACGTTTATGTAAATCGTCTCCGAAGAATGAGAATTTGTATACAGAATACATTAACAAAAATTTTTGCGTACTAAGAATATTCATACTAAAAACATCTGTGGTTAGTTTTTTTGTTCGCAGTAAAACACATCGTGCGTCGGCGTCAAAGTGACTGGTCGAAATTTATAGATGGAGCCACTATAACCAAGGATCGAAACTGTCAGTGTTTTCACACAGAGATTAATATGTTTACCTAGGTTAGAACCCAATTAATTCTATCTCGGGATTATTAGTCTAAGTCAACGTTGTGTAGCGTTTGTGACCAAGTTTCCCCTGAAGGTGGGTAAAGATATATCAGTAGTGTACATAATATTCTCAATACGTTTACAGTCGATAGCAAATGTTTGCAGACTTGATATTAGTTTCACTAGAACATGTACTTCTTTACATATGGACTGATTCGATAAAGATATTCATATTAGTGTGATCAAGTTTAGTATGTTAAGTAATCCATGATCACAGTGTTTACGTCCATATATGTGTTACTAGCGACCCACCCCGGCTTCGCACGGGTGCAATATGCATATATTATACATATAAACCTTCCTTAAAAATCACTCTATCTTTTAAAAGAACCGCATCACAATTAGTTGCGTAGTTTTAAAGATCTAAACATACATAGGGACAGACAGACTGCAGAAAGCGACATTGTTTTATACTATGTAGTGATGACAAGCTTCATAAGAACTCAACAGACAGCCACTGGAAAAGGCGACGAAGGAGGTTGCAAACCAAAAGAGAATAAAAATTAATTCACGAAGCCATCTTGTTAAACATCGTCAAGCGATGTAGAGCATCTTAACAAGAAACATAAACTCTTACTTAATTAAAAACTCTTTTGATTAACAACTTAACTAGTGAAAGTGGTTCTCTGACCCTTTTTGCAAACTTGAGTCATAAACGAACAGCGACAGGACCTATTTTGCATTATAATGGCAAATTGGGGCATTCCTAGTCTAAAATTATGCCGTAGAAAATGTATGGATGTATATTGAATCGTTATTTTAAACATTATGTTAGCTTATTTTACAGTTGGTTTTTAAATAATTGTGTTTTCACAGCTCCTTTGTAACGTGAACTTTTCTATTTGATTTTTGAAGAGAGTGTTGCGATTCACTAATGTAAATACACACGATCGGTTTGATATCCGAGTAAACAAGATTCATTGCAAAAACATACAGTAGGTATGTTTTGAGGAAGCTTTTTGACGAGAAAATTTAAAATTTACATTAAAATGATATTGAGTAATAATGTAGTTTATTATATAGATAATTTATTTTGTATTATACTAAGCATTAAGATTTTTTGGTTACTTATACCTACACCGTGAAATCTATTTCGTTTTCGTCCTGAAGTATAATGGTTTTGTCTTGCTAATACAAAAGTGTTAAGAGACATTGTAGAACATACTTTTTTAAAAGAGTAACGAATGGAGTTATTCGGCTACACATCGAGCTTTACATAACCAGTATAAACTGAACTTTAAATGTGCGGAAAGATGATGCGACGCGACACCAGGATAAACTGGTTTTGTATAGATTGATGTGTGGCCGTGTGTACCTAATAAAAAAATATTATGTACGTATTTTTTTACTTTGTCGTATTATAAAACGATACTTAGATAAAAAGGAATCAAAGTTTAGGAGTGGGGGCTAAAACGTCATTTCTACGTATAAAATGTACATAGAAGTGAAGTCACGCGACATTTTAAATCAATATATCGTCGAAAGTATTCCATTCTGTAAAAAAATAAAAAAATACGTGTCTAATGTTTTAAAATAATCTACCAGACGGACATTAAAATAAAAATTATTATCTACCCTATTGTCGAAGAGGTATTTCTCTCTTTTAGTGTTTTATTTTTACTTTTTACATCGAAAGTGCTCCTTATTGCTAGTTGTTTTGTATTCAAAAAAGAAATAGATTACACGGAGTATAAATGAAAGCTGCGCTTTTTGAATATTTCTCAATATCAATGTTTTGTGGGGCACCCTTGGACATCAGGTAATCAATTATCAATAGTATACTAAATTGCTC